CACAGCATGACCAACAGAGGAGGGCGTCGGCACCTGTCGACCTGCAGCCCTTTACTCAAACACAGTTCCCGTCAGCTCCTCATCCTCATTCCTACTATGTCACCGATCAAAAGTACGTTCCAGATCAAAAGTACACGTCAAACCCACACCAGGGCTACTAAGTCTTCCTTGGGACGATGCATCCTTTTAATACCGAAGCACAACCAACCAAACCCCAACTTTCAATCTGCAAGATTCTGAACGATATACAAATGTACAGGACATTCATGGCGGATGATTTGAATCTGATACCCCCTTAGTGGCATATTTCTTTTGGCGAAGGCGGCAATCTCTCAACAACGGCATTTCAGCTTGCACACTATCTACATTTCTTTCATTTCTGACTTCGGTTTATGGCGTTTGTGGTGTCACCATCGGTTTGTTTTCTGCGACCTCTGCGTTTTTGCTTTTCTCAAACGTCCATTTCCAGCGACGATATCTGTCTTAAAAGCATTCTTTGATGTCTTGTACGCATGGCACCGACATTATCTGGTTACACCGCATTCCGTCTATCGTATTATTCTGCACGTCTCTACATCAACTTTACTACAGCCATACCCTTGTACAAATATAATTTACAACCATGTATCTATCTGTCTTTGCATCAGCTGCAGCTGCAGCAGACCGAAAAACAGAAATCTGGCAATCAAAAACCGCGCAAAATTGGCAGCGGATGAAATCATCATTACCAAGGAAATAATCCATTTTCCAAACACGCACTTATTTCCTAATTCGGTGATTCTATGTGTTGACACGGCAAAGGTGTCGAATACTAGCAGTCGTTGCAACGAACAAAGTGTATAGTATTTGATTAGTAGTGAGCAAGAGCTGGATGGAGAGATCTCCATATGTACGGTTGCGAGCTAAGCGGGAAGCTTGGTCTAACTAGTGGTCCAAGCTTCCGGCCCGGAAAAACTCGCCGGGCTGGCTGTACGCGCATGTTCCGACACTGGCTTTTCTTCTTTTTGTGACGGCGTACAGTCAGCTCCCAAGTACCCCGAATCTGCTACAATATCCTGCTCCTAGAAAAGTATCTAGTTTCCTATTCCGGCTAACGCAAATACATGCAACCCATTCATCCCTTGTGTGTGTGTGCATGTGTGTCCGTCTCAGTTCTCACCACAATCAATCGTGGGCTCGGTGCCATCGCTCGTAGGCTCGGTGCCTGTCTTGTTTGTAGGCTCGGTGCCTGTCTTGTCTGTAGGCTCGGTGCCTGTCTTGTTCGTAGGCTTGGTGCCTGGCTTGTTCGTAGGCTCGATGCCTGTGGTGTCGCGATTCACCCATCCCTGTACACGAAGTTCGAGCTCGTTGGTGTCAATGAGATGCTCTAAAGCAGAGTTGCTCGCTGCCTTTGTCATCGCATCTGCTGGGTTGTCTCTGCCGTCAATCCAGCGGATATCCATGAGATCGTTGCGCTCGTATGCCTCGCGCAATGCCATGATGTCTATCATGAGACGTTTCTCCTTAGTAGTGCCGAGTTTGACGAGACAGTCGTACAAGGATCGTGAATCCGTGCATGCGACAATAGAGACCTTAGGGAAAGACAGTCGGTCCATAATCATGTCAATCGTGGTGCCGATGGCCAGTGCAATGTCAACGCCATGTGCCATTGCATAGATCTCCGATGCTAGAACGCTCCTTGTGACGCGTTTGCATTTAGTGGAGGACCAGTGAATAATGTTGCCACGTATCTTAAAGCTGCCGTCTGAAGATGCAGTCTCGTTACCAAGAATAATAACGTATCCCATTTGAGAGCTCATGTCCTTGTTGTTGGCAAACGAGGCGTCCACCATCGTGTATAGCTTGAGATCTTTCATCTCAATAGGCACGTAGCTAAGTCCGCGAGAGACGTTTTTCTTCTGCCAGTTAATGCGCTTATTCAATCTGGATATTTCTTCTTTTGTCGGTTCAGTCGCTTGCGCTGCAGCGGCGAGATCAAAGCTTGCCTCTGGTTGACAGATAGTCGCGATATATGCTCCTCGTGCTCGTTGTTGTATGTAGGACTTTGCATCAACAGCGTTCTCAAGTTTCTCACCTTGCTTCTTCTGCCGTAAAGTAATGACGTTGCCACTGCCAAGATGTACCATACAGCCATTAAACTCGATAGGGTCAGTGTCTGTGAGGTACTTTTTGTCCTTAGCTTTGAAACGGAGCTCCTTGTCCTCTCTATCAGCGAATGCGTTGTCTGAGAGACCAAGAGTGTCGTCGGTTTGCATGCCAACAATGCCGAAACCTGTGGTTGTTCCAGCGTCGGTGGCCTTGGAGATGAGGAGGCATGGGTCGTACGTAGACGTCTCCATGTTGAGTGTCGTCGTGTGGTGTTTGAAGTATGTTGACCACCAGTAGGCACCTGCTTCGGCGATGCCATACAGTGGTTTCACCACGACCATGATGGTTCCTTGTGGGTACACTTTGCGGAGTTGTACAGGCAGGTCTGCAATGATAGTGCGCTGGAGGCGGTCGTCGGACTGCGTGTACGCCTGCGTGATGTCTCGGAGCCATAACTTCATGCCCATTTGGATCAATACCGGTGCAAGAGCAATAATGATCCTCTGGCTTGCGCGTTGTATCGTGGGGCTCTGGGTGAGTACAATCTTCTTGCCATCATCGGCGTAGCCTTGTACAACTAGTCTAGATTTCTCGTACGGCTTATCGGTGGTCTTGCCTTTCACTTCATTGACAATGCGGGACTTGAAGATCCGGATCCCGCCATGCTTGGCTAGATTGAATGGCTCAAAGCGGAAGACGCCGCGGGTAATGAGAGCGTCAATCTCTGTCTTGGTTGACAGCTCAAAAGGTTCTCCAGGTGTCGTGATCTTACCGGTAGTGCGCAATGTCCTGGCTAGCACTATGTCGTCTTTCTCGCGCTGTGCGAGGTTAGCAGCGTGTGTCTTCGGCTTGTTCTTGGAGCCTTTGGGACGGCCGCGTCCTCGGCGTTGCGGTGGCTCTTCTGGGGGAACAAAGTCGTCATTGTCGCGCTGATGCTCGCTATGCTGTTCCTCATCGCCGTGCTGTTCCTCGTCAGGTCGCGGGAGATTTGTAGTGTCGTCTTGATGATACGGCTGGACAGAGGTGATGCGGAAACTTGCTTGTTTCCCATGAGCGTCGACGATAGCAGCAGTCTGATCGTCGTTCAGGGCGAGGAGAGTGTGCGGGCCAGTCCATCCGAGGCCTTCACGCCACACCTTGACGTTGCTCTGCAGCGGTAGTTCTAGTACTTGCGTGACGATGTTGTTTGGCCCGTTACGGGTACCTAAAGCTTCATTGACTTGTCGCTTTGCCTTAATCTTCCGGACTTCTGCCATCGCTTTGCGTATTGCCGTTGCGCGCGCGGTGATTGAGGGAGATGGCGGTGATGTCTTGGAGAGACGTGGATAGGTGCCGAATACCAGCAGCGTTGGTACAAGTCCTTCAGGTCCGGCGGTGTCGTTGACAGCCTTGACAGCCATCTGGAGGATGTCATCCTTCGTCGTCGTAG